TTTTTAAAGTGAAAAATCACCACTGAGTTTCTAATAATTTATTAGCCACGAATACCCCATTTCTTTCGGGATTTGAACAATTAAATCCAACCAAGAGAGAGTAGTTCTTGCTTTCACTTATGTTTACCTCTTCCTAATACTATCCAGTCATTCAGTAAAATTCATACAACAATGTATGTATATATTTTTTCAGATGGCTGTTCTGAATTAAATTACAAAATATACATATGTACACATTTTAATATAAAGGTGATAATGTTGCTCATCATCAACTTCTGGGCTGTCCATCTGGAGTGAGCTCATACCTGTAAGACAATTGGATTTGGACGTCTGTTAGTATTGAGAGCATGGTGTGGTAGCATCAGGACAGTCTAGCCTGCCTGGGCCTGTATAGGACCAGCAGAACCCATCTCTTTATAAGTTGGCCAGCCAGGATTAAGGCTTTTGCTGACAGAGATCCTTTCGGAGAGGGAGATTGGCAGGCTGTAAAGGTGATAATCAGCCTCCCTCCTTGATAACCAACGAGCTGAAATGTACTGAAAAGGGAAAAACTTTGGAGAGAGAATATGGGCAACTGAGATAATATCTTGACTAGCAGCTTAATGTGATAAAATGAAAGGGGTCACTTACCATTGTGAGAAACCCATAATCAGATCTTCTTTTGATAAATCGATCAGTACCTAAACAATCACAAATAATCAGTTCCCTTCCAAGAAAAGGAAATTTCATTAAATAGAAACATACTGGGATAAACGGAATTGATCTTAAAAAGGATCTCTTTGGCTTTTGTAATTTTGAGTAGGGTCCCTTTTTCCCTTTGGCTTTCAGCATGGAACCTCTCCAGAAACCCAGCACAGTGTCCTCAGTGTCCTGGGGAAAGGTGAATCGCTGTATATGTCAGGAATGTATGTATGAATGTTACAGAAAGAGAGGACAGCTTGCCTTTACTCATTAACTGATTCATAATTTAAAGTAAGATGCCACAGTTGCCTCTACTGTAAAAATGGGGGTAATATCACCTATTTCATAGAAGTGGGCTTTAAAAAGCTGAGCATAAGGAGGTGTTTAGTAGAATACAACTATGAAATGTTGTACAAATATTCTTCTTTGTCTCTCTTTGGCATTTGCCTGAGGATTCTATTTCCTCTACTTCTACTTTAAGCAAAATCCTATCACCACAAAAATACTGATGTAATGAGATCCAAGCTTAACAACAAACAGCACTGTATATATCGAAACAACACTTAATACCATAGATGTTCAAATACTTGTGCAGTGATGAATTGGGATGTTCTTGAGTTTGTTAAAATAGGGTTTAGCGTATTAATTTACACATCTACATCATTTAGTTTCAAGAATATTTAAAAGGAACAAAACTCCCAGTGAAGCCATACCCTCCTTGAAGTTAAATGATCCCATCAGAATTTCTACAAGGATGCCTTTTCACCAACAAACTCCAGCTAGAGTACTGGGAGGTCAGAGTACCAAGAGTTCTTCTTGTACTTACTTTTCCTAGTTCCTTCCTTCTGTGTGAGCCAAGTGGCCTACTGTTTTTCACTGCGACGTCTAGTGACCTCTTCTGTACTTCTTCCAAGGGAACAAAAAATTCAAATCTTTAAAAAGCAAAAAGTCAGGAAATCAGATTTACATATTTTCATCATTTTTGTTGAAAATCTGAAGTGTTTCATCCATTTTCCTACGTTTAAAACAGAAGATATAATTGAGAGTAGCACACTGAGTAGCAGATACTCAGTGCATCACTATTATATATAATCGCTGTCCTGTGTTATTTACACACCCTGGAAGTGTTAAGAGCCTGTTTGCCTCTCCTATGTGCCTTGAACTATACTGTGCTTTGTGGTTTCCTTCTTGCTTTCTCAGACTCTACCTTGACGACCACTCTTTCAGCTGCCTCATCTCATTCTGAACAGTGCCTGCTAATAGGACCACCTCAAACACTTCTAAGTTGTTTTTTTATGACCAGCTAAGGGCTACAATGCTGAATAGTTAGGTTTGCTGGAGTTGCATGAAAAATAGTAGCCTATTCCCTCTTATGCCTGTGGAGTAAGGCAGAGAAATCTTAGTGTAAAGCTTTGACATGTACTTACAGGAGTCCTCTGGACTCCTAAGTTTTTAAAAAAAATCATTTTATTTATTGAGGTGTTAGTGATATAAGATTATATTAGTTTCAGGTGTACAGCATAATGATTCAATATTTGTGTATATTGAAAATGGTCACCACTGCCCTGGCTGGTGTGGCTCTGTTGGTTGGAGCGTCATCCCATACACTGAAAGGTGGTAGGTTTGATTCCTGGTCACAGCACATACCCAGGTTGCAGGTTTAATCCCCGGTCTGGGTGCATACAAGAGGCAGCCCATCGATGTTTCTCTCTCCTTTTCTCTCTCCCTTCCTCTCTCAAAAATCAATACAAAGCATATCCTCGGGTGAAGGGGAGAAAAAAGGTCACCACAATAAGTCTAGTTAACATCACCACCATACATAGTTACAAAAATTCTTGTGATGAACTTTCAAGATCCACTCTCCTAGTTACTTTCAAATATGTAATACAGTATTATTAACTATAGTCATCATGCTGTACATTGCAAACCCGTGACTTATTCATAACTAGAAAAATTGTACCTTTTGACCCCCTTCACCCATTTTGCCCATCCCCGACCTCACACAAACATCAGTCTGTTCTCCACACCCATGAACTCAGTTTTTTGGTTTGTTTTTGGCTTTGTTTCTTTAGATTCCACGTTTAAGATCATCTGATAATTATCTTTTTCTGTCTGAATTATTTCACTTAGCATAAAGCCCTTAAGGTTCATCCATGTTGTCACAAACAGATTTTTTTTTTTTTAATGGCTAAATAATGTGTGTGTACAAGTGTGTGTGTGTACACCACATTTTATCCATTTATCCACTGATGGATGTTTAGGTTGTTTATATGTCCTGGCTATTGTAAATAATGCTGCAGTAAATAGGGGGTGCATATATTTTTTTGAGTTAGTGTTTTCATTTTCTTTGGATAACTACCCAGAAGTAGAAATGCTTCATCATCTGGTAGTTCTATTTTTTAATTTTTAACATTCCCACCAGCAGTGCAACAAGGGTTCTGAGGAGGTGATAGCTCATTGTGGTTTTGATTTGCATTTTCCTGATGATCAATGATGTTGAACACCTTTTCATGACCTTTTGGCCATTTGTATGACTTCTTTGGAAAAATGTCTATTCAGATCCTCTGCCCATTTTTAATTGGATTTTTTTTTTTTGCTATTGAATTGTAGGAGTTCTTTGTATATTTGAATATTTTACTTCGTATCAGAAATATGATTTACAAGTATTTTCTCCTATTCCATTAATTTTGTTGATGGTTTCCTTGCTGTGCAGAAGCTTTCTAGTTTGATATAGTCCCACTTGTTTATTTTTGCTTTTGCTGCCTTTGCTTTTGGTATCATCCAAAAAATGATACCAAGATCAATGAACAAGATCAATATCAAGGAGCTTACCAACTTATATTTTCTTTTGAGTTTATGGTTTCAGGTCTTACATTCAAGTCTTCAATCCATTTTGAGTTAGTTTTTGTGTATGATAACTTAAGGATTTAATTTCATTCTTTTGCATGTGGTTATCCAGTTTTGCCAACACCATTTATTGAGACTTTTTCCATTATGTGTTCTTGGTGCTGTTGTTGAATATTAGTTGATTATATGTGAGGGTTTATTTCTAGGCTCTCTATTCTGTTCCATTGATCTATGTGTCAGTTTTTATGCCAGTACCAGTCTGATTACTGTAATAGAGTTTATATATAGTTTAAAATCAGGGAGAATATTACCTCAGGCATTGTTCTTTCTCAAGATTGCTTTGGGTCTTTTATGGTTTCATGCAAATTTTAGGATTGTTTGTTCTATTTCTGTGAAATATGCTGTTGGGCTTTTGATAGGGATTTCATTGAATCTGTAGATTGCTTTGGGTAGTATGAATTTTTTAACAATATTAATATTTTCAATTCATGAGCACAAACTGTCTTTCCATTTATGTGTGTCTTATTCAATTTCTTTCATTAATGTCTTGTAGTTTTCAATACACAGGTCTTTTACCTTCTTGGTTACATTTATTCCTAGGTATTTTATTCTTTATAATGAAATTGTAAATGAGATTGTTTTCTCTTTCCTCATAGTTCATTATTAGTGTATAGAAATGCAACATATTTTTGTATATTGATTTTGTAGTCTGTAACTTTATTGCACTTGTTGATTAGTTTTTTGTCTTTATTGATCTCAGAGAGAGAGAGAGAAACAGAAACATCAATGATGAGAGAGTCATTGATCAGCTGCCTCCTGCACACCGCAGATTAGGGATTGAGCCCGCAACCCAGGCATGTGCCCTGACCAGGAATCAAACCTCGATCTCCTGAATCCTAGGTCGATGCTCAGCCACTGAACCACGCCAGGGGGCTGTTGATTAGTTCTAACAGGGGTTTTTTTGGTGGATTCTTTAGGGTTTTCTAAGTATAATATCATGTCATCTGCAAATGGTGACAGTTTTACTTCTTTCCAATTTGGGTGCCTTTTCTTTTTGTTGCCTGATTGCTCTGACAGGGACTTCCAATACTATGTTGAATAAAAGTGACAAGAATGGGCATAGCATACTTGTCTCGTTCCTGATCTTAGAATAGGGGTGGGGAACCTTTTTTCTGCCAAGGGCCATTTGGATATTTATAACATCATTCTTGGGCCATACAAAATTATCAACTTAAAAATTAGCCTGCTATATTTGGTCAAATATTTAATTGAATTTCAAGTCCCACCTGTGATTGCCTTGGCAAGGCCAGACATTCCCCACCTGTCTTAGAAGAAAGGTTTTAAGCTTTTCATCAGTGAGTGTGATGTTAGTTGTGGGCTTGTCGTATATGACCTTTATTATGTTGAGAATACCAGTTTTGTTGAGAGTTTTTATCATGAATAAATGTTAAATTTTGTGAAATGCTTTTTCTTCATCTTTTGAGATGATATTTTTATCACTCATTTGTTGATGTGGTGTATCACCTTGATTGATTTGCAAAGTGTGGAACCATCCTTGCATCCCTGGAATTAAATCCCACTTTATCATGATGTATGAGCCTTTTAATGTATTGTTGAACTTGGTTTGCTAATATTTTGTCGAGAATTTTTGCAGCTACATTCATCAGGGATATTAGCCTATAATTAATTTTTCTTGTGGTGTTCTTGTCCAGTTTTGGTGTCAGGGTAATGCAGACTTAACAAAAATGAGTTTGAAAGTGTTCCCTCTACTTGTATTTTGGGAAGAGTTTGAGAAAGATTGGTGTTAATTCTTTGAATGTTTGGTAGAAAAAAACCAGTGAAGCTGTCTAGTCCTGGACTTCCCTTGGTTGAAAGGTTTTTGCTTATCAATTCAATATTCTAACAAGTAATTGGTCTATTCAGATTTTCTGTTTCCTCATGATTGCCTTGGTGTAGGTTATGTGTTTCTAGGAATTTATTCATTTCTTCTAAGTTGTTAAATCTGTTGGTGTGTATAATTGTTAATTGTAGTCTTTTATGACCCTTTCTTTTTCTGTGGTATCAGTTGTAATGTTTCCTATTTCATTACTGATTTTATTTGGGTCTTCTTTCTTCCTAGGTAAGTCTAGCTAAAGGTTTATCAATTTTATTTATCTTTTCTATTGTCCTTTTAGTCTCCATTTCATGTATTTCCACTATGATCTTTGTTTTTTCCTTTCTTCTGCTAACTTTGGGCTTTGATCTTCTTTTTCTAGTTTCTTTACACTAAGTGTAAAGTTAGGTTTGAGATTTTTCTTGTTTTAGAGATTTATCGCTATGAACTTCCCATTTAGAAATGCTTTTGCTGCCGTAGCTGGTTTTGCTCAGTGCTTAGAGCGTCGGCCCACAGACTGAAGGGTCTCGGGTTTGATTCTGGCCAAGGGTGTGCACCTCGATTGCAGGCTTGATCTGGTCAAGTGCGGGAGGCAACCAATTGATGTGTTTTTCTCTCTCCCTTCCACTCTCTAAAAAGCAATGGAAAAAATACCCTCAGGTAAGGATTAAAAAAACAACTGCTTTTGCTGCATCCCATAAGCTTTTTTATGTTGCATTTCCGTTTGTCTCAAGACATTGTGTCATTTGATTTCTTTGTTGACCCATTGGTGGTTCAGTAACATGTGAATTGTCTGGTTTCCTTCTTTTAATTTTCTGCCATTTGATTGGAGAAAATGCTCAATATGATTTTAGTCTTCCTAAATTTATTAAGACTTTTGTGGTCTAACATGACCTATCCTGAAGAATGTGTATTCAGCTGCTTTTGGATGGAATGTTCTGTATGTATTTGTTAAGGCCATTGTTTCCTATTGATTTTCTGTCTGGGTGATCTATCCATTGATGAAAGTTGTATGTTCAAGTTCCCTGCTATCGTATTGCTGTTTACTTCTCCCTTTAGGTCTGTTAATATTTGCTTTATTTATTTAGGTGCTCCTGTGTTGGGTGTATAAATATTTACAAATGTTATATCCTCTTTTTTGGTTGACCCCTTTATCTCTTATTCCAGTCTTTGTTTTAAAGTCTATTTTGTCTGATATAAGTATAGCTACCCCAGCTTGCTTTTGGTTCCTATTTGCATGGAATCTTTTTCCATCCCTTCCCTTTCAGTCTGTGTTTCCTTACATCTGAAATGAATCTCTTGTAAGCAACGTATAGATGGATCTTTGGGGTTTTTTTAATCCATTTAGCCACGCTATGTCTTTTGATTAAAGAATTTAGTCCACTTATAAAAGATAATTTTTCTGATGTCTTATAGTTCTCTGCTCCTTTCTTTACTTGCTCTCTTCCTCTGTGGTTTGATGATTTCCTTTAGTGGCATGCTTAGATTCCTTTCTCTTTATCTTTTGTGTTGTGGTCGACATTAGGTTTACATACAACAATTTATATTTAGAACAGTCTATTTTAAGTTGATAACATCTTAAGTATGACTATATTATAAAGCTCTATAGTTTGTACTCTCTTACGCCATCTTTTGCTTTTAATGCTACATCTTAAATATCCCTTAACTGATTATTGCAGTTATAGTTATATTTACTATACTTTTATTTTTTAACCTTCATACTAGCTTTATAAGTAATCCACTACCATTATTATATATTTGCCTTTACCAGTGAGATTTATATTTTCTTGTTACTAATTAACAACGTTTTTTTCCAGCTTAAAGAAGCCTCTTTAATATTTCTTGTTAGGCCGATTTAGTGGTGATGACTTCCTTTAGCATTTGCTTGTCTGGAAAACTTATTCAGAACTGAAGGAGAGATAACTTGCCAGGTAGAGTATTTTTTTCTTTCAGCACTTTCAACATACTGTGCCTCTCCCTTGTCACCTGCAAAGTTTCTGCTGAAAAATATGCTGGTACTCTTATAGTGGTTTCATTTTTTCTCTTGCTTTTAAGATTTTCTATCTTTAACTTTTGATATTTTAAAGAGTCCTCTGGACTCCTTACTTCTAGGTTTAGTTTTAGGGTAGAGGCTGCCAGGTCTGCTTTCTAGATAATCCAGACAAAGCTTGCTGATACAATTTTCAGAGAGAATTACTAACAGATGAGGTTTTATCACAGAAGTCAAATCTCTTTCCTGTGTTCCCACATAGCAATTTTGACATCTCTTAATAATTTTTCTCAGAGCTCTCTTTGGTTGCAAAGTGTCTTTCTTGTGTGGCTCTAGAAAATAGGATAGTGCCTGGCATAAATTGTTATTGAATGAATAAATTCTCTCTCCCACCCTTTCTTGATAATGATGAACTCAACGTGTAGTTCTTAGATATGGTTCATAAAGGACTCAAGTATAGATTTTTAAAATGAATGCTTATTTGAATGCACAGCTTGAAAGGGATAATTTATGAAGATAAGATGCAATCAGAAAACAAAGGACTATTGTATGTATGGAACTTTTTTTACATAAACCTAATGGTAACCACAAGACAAAAATCTAGAGCTCAGACATGTAACAACAAAAAAAATCATAGAAAACCACCAAATTAACAAACACAAGGGAGAAGAAACAATAGAGCAACCAGAAAATGAAAGATAAAATGACTGTAGTAAGTCCTCATGGAACCAGAAAATACCTTGAATAGCCAAAGCATTCCTGAGAAAAAAGAGCAAAGCCAGAGGTAGCACACTCCCTAACTTCAGATTATACAACAAAGCTATAGTAATCAAAACTGTATGGTAGTAACAGAAAGACAGACACACAGACCAGTGGAACAGAATTGAGAGCCCAGAAATAAACCCACACATATATGGGCATCTAATTTTTTGACAAAGGAGCCAAAAACATACAATGGAAAAAGAAAATTCTCTTCAATTAATGCTGCTGGGAAAACTGGAAAGCCACATGCAAAAGAACGAAACTAGACTGCTGACACCATACACAAAAATTAACTCAAAATGGATTAAAGGCTTGAATATAAGACCTGAAACAATAAGACCCAAAGAAGAAGAAAACACACTAAACTTATGAACCTTGGTCTCAGAGGGGCCTCTGGAAATTTGATCCCAAAGGCAAGGAAAGTAAAAGCTAAAATGAATAATTATTCCAAAAGAGGAAACCAAAATTATCAGATATATCTTCCTTGGCTGGCTAGAAATGTCTTCTCAGGATCCTGAAGCAGAAGGAAGCAATGATGAGATTTTGACTTCTGTACCTTGAGGTCAACTTGAAATAAAAAATATTTAGGATAAGACTTGCCACCACACACCCACTGAAGACAAGCTAGGGGAGGATAGCTGTTTCACTTGCCACCTATGCTTTGTTGCAGGAGGGAAGAGAGGCCAAAGAGCTTGGAGCTTCGGAGAAAAATTTAGGTCCTTAGGTTCAAGGTATGTTTATTTTTAACTGCTGCTTTAAAACAGATTCAGGTCCTTTTACTACCAAAGAATATTACATAATCAGGAACACTTTAGCCCCTATGAGCAAGAAAAGTAGTTAGCTGTTTTGCTAAATTGCCCTGGTAGTCCTTTTCTTCCACCAAAGTATACAGAAGCTTCATGAAGGCATAGACCATGTTGTCCTGTTCAACCCTAGCCCTTCATATGACCTGGTAGGCTGCAGGTACACAACAGATGCTCCGTAAGTACCTGAATGGGTGAGCACTCTAGGCAGACTAACTGGCCCACTTACGTCTCATCGAACAGGGGTTCCACGGTCTTGCGCTTCACTGAGGTCTTCTTACGACTCACCCACCTCCTTTCTGGCAGCAAGTAGACACGGACATAAGAATCAACTCCACTGGTGGTACAGGGTGTCAGGTTTCTGATTTGGTTTCAAAGATATTAAAGAAAAAGGTCCTGGTTTTCAAACATTGAAAATACTCATTTGGAGAAAGCTGTACTAGCCCTTCAGCTTTAGATGACCTTGAGGATAAAAATGCCCAAATAACCAACAAAGCAAAAATATGTAGAATTTGGAGGATAGACCATCAGGTGCATGGCTCTGAAAACATGAGTTTTTGTAAAGTTTGGAGTAGAGCCAAGTACTTTCTATCTAAAGGAACTTGATTCCCACTTGAGAAAATGTACTGACTCCCTACCCCAGACAGTTTGCAGTGCTCCTGAGCAAAGCCCTTGGCTCCAGAGCCCATCAGCACCATTGAGGACCTTGTCACTCACAGCAAGTCTTCAAACCTCACTTGTTCCCACTGCATCATTGCATTAGTTGTCTATCGTGGGGCTGCCCACCCCTGCCATTGCTCCAAGTGCCCTCACCTGATGCTCCCAAAGGACCTTTCCTGGCCCCACTATCTTTTTACCTGCAGCCGTTGATTAGCACGCTGAGGCAGCGCCGCAGACAGATATAACGCACTGTTAGCTGAATCTCGCCCAGCCTCCGATGCCTGAAATCCCTGCCTCTGTAAAGAAACAGCTTGTCACTTTTGCCTTTACAAGTGTTGGCCTCTTCCTTGACCCCCAAGACGGAGCCTATCTTGCTTTCAGAACATAGAGCCATGGGGGTTAATTAACAATTTCTTCAGTTGGAAGTTAGTTCCACTCAGCATTCATGCATAATTATCCTACTTTGCCGTAGGAAGAGTATGAACCCTGCAGTGGGATCTGCTTTTATAGTATGATTTCTTGTGGGACCTTGGGTGAGTTATTTGACCTTTATCTCATAGGGTTACTGTGAAGATCGAATTAAATAATGCACTAAACACATAGTAAACACTTACTGATTACAAATTCCATATCCTAAGCTTTCCATATTATCCCAGTGTAACTCTTTAGAATTCAGGAAAGGTTTCTGCTGTAACAGCCAAAGTCCAGGATCTGTTTTACAGTTGGTATATAAAGAAATTGGCTCACATGTGCTCTCTCTCCCTCCACCTGTCCTGAGTCCTTTCTACCACACCATGCTGCCTCTCATAAAGCCATTCTGTGAAAAACCAGAACTTGAATGGAAAAGTTCATGTCTACTTTTCCATCCAGGGAGTTATTTTTCATGCAGGTGATTTTAGAAAAGATTAAGCAGAGAGGTGCATACTCAGTGTTGAGGCTGATATCTGTCAGGTCAAAGCAGGAGGTGGCCAGGGAGTTGAGCGAGGACATGCTGGGAGCCAGCCTCGTGGGCGGCCATGCGAATGGGGAGGCAAGGCATTTCATGGGTCTGGGTGACTTGATGGGCCCTGGAGAGTGGGGGCCTGGGACAGTCAGGAAGATGGTGGCCGAACTCCTCTTCTCCCCCATGGGCTCACAGAAACCTTTGGCACTGTCCTTGCCTTTCGGCTCTGGGCCTGTCTCTTGGAGTGTGGGCTCGGTGGCAGCAGTGGTGGCGCTGGTGGTTGTCGTGGTGCTCTTGGAGGCTTCCTTGGGATCAGAAGCAGGGTCTGGGGGGCATGGCAAATCTGCAGGACCCTCTCCCTGGGGAGGAGCTTTGGGACCTTGGTTGGTGGCCACCTTCTTAACGAGCAGAGGGCCTTTCTTTAGGGCTTCAGGTCCTGTATATGGGCTCCCCATCTCTCGTTCTTCCACGCGTAGGAACTGCAAACAGATGACAGGGTTGTTTATGGGCTAGGCCCACCGCTTCCATTTTCTACTCCTCTGCTCTTGCCTTAACCTCTGGGAAATGTTTTTTTCCTGACTGCCTAATTCAATGGAATTTCACCCCCAGACCATATTTTCCTTAACCTCTTTTGGCCTTGGTCCCCTCTGACCAGTGCCTCTCTCTTTCCCCTTCCTCCTGCCTCACTAGTGGGTCTTCATGAAGACTCAGCCCGGTCCCTTCTCTCTATACTCATATTGGCTGCAGGAGATTTAGCCCACTCTCAGCATGCACTTTCCCTCTGTGCAGAGGATTCCCAGATCTACACCTTCAGCCTTTCCTTAACCTTCACAAAGATCACTAGCTACTTTCTGGATATGGTCATTTTCCAGATGTCACCTTATTCACCATTACTTTCCCTAAAATGTGTTTCCTATCCAGACACACCCCCCCCCATGGTCCTAGCACCAAAGTTTCAAACCTCAGCCATTGTGTTTCTCCTTTTTCCCTCATTCATTAATTATCAGGACCCTTCCTAAGGGCTTCCATTTCCAGCAATATGGTGGTCAAAATATTCTGAAAAATAACTTGTTAGGAATGCCCTAGTAAAGTAAACATCCTTTTAAATACATAGCCAAATTCACTAAGTAAAATCCCTAGGGTTAAAAATCCAGAGAAAACTAACTAATAAAGATTAAACTTTCTGAGGGTAATTTATCAATCTTGGTCAGTGTGAAGCTGAGAGTTGAATTAGGACCCATGAAGGTGGGATCTCTCTAGTGAAAAAGTAGCTTAACGTTCCACCCACCAGCAAAGACTGATGACAAGATGTGTCTGTTTCAGCCTGAACTCTGGTTGGGGGGTAAATAAAGTATTTTCCAAGAATAGAGCACCTTATAGGCTTCTCTCATATGAGTCTGGATTGTCCCATATGAATTTATACTACTTGTGGTGTCTTGAAACCCAAGGTTAAAAGTTAACATAGGCCCTGGCTAGACAGCTCAAAGGTTGCGGGTTCAATCCCCAGTCAGGGCACATACAAGAACCGACCAATGAATGCATAAATAAGTGGAGCAACAAATCGATGTTTCTCTTCCTCCTCCCTATCTCTAAAAATCAAGAAATAAATTAACATAAAAAAGAATCCGTGTTTGTAGTGCCCCTGAAGTTCTTGGCTACAGCAACAGCAGTATACTTGGAAGTGAACAACCTCAATCCAGGTCACAAAGGAACACTTACCATGTGTTTACAACCCAAGTTGCCAAATAGAAATGAGTCACCATGAAAAAGCATCAACAGATAAAACAGCAAAATCCAACTCCCAAGATCTTCAGGTAACAGAATTAACATAGTATTTTCACATGATTAAAGATGAAATAGAAACATGAAAAGATAATAAAATACAATTTAAAAAGGTGGATTTGGAAAAAATAAAATTAGAAATTAAAAGTAGCCTTTGAAATAAAGATCATGAACAGGTTAAAGAGCAGGTTAGGCATAGGCAAGGAAATATTTAGTGGACTGGAAGACAGATCTGAGGAAATTAGAATGTAGCACCAAGACATAAAAAGATATAAAATATGAAGATGAGGTCAGGTCGAGACATGGAGGAGATGAGAAGGTCCTGCATGGAAGGGGTTCTAGAAGGAAGCATTAAAAGAATGGGAGAGGCAATATTTGAAGAGATAATAGCTGACAATCCAAAAATGGTGAGAAGTACGAATCCATCTTCGAGCAGTCTGCCTTGCTCCAGGGCCAGAGCTCTGCCCCCTGCCTCCCCCGGGGGCCCAGGGAAAAGATTTACCCGAAGCACCAGCCTCATGGAGATGAGGCTGTCCAGCCCCGAGTGGTCCAGCTGAAAGCGCTGCTCAAGGGTCAGGTCTGCGTAGGGGAGAATCTGGCACAGAGGCAACTCCAGCACCCCGAGAGCGTACTCTTGGTCGTCATCCAGTACCTGGGTGGTGGGCCAGCCACAAAACAAGAGCATAACTAAGTCCCACCCTTTGGGCCCAGACAAGTCTAAATTTACTGCAGTTTGTGGTTCTATGCTTCTATTGGCCTCTGGCCCCTGCCTTCAGTTGGGAAGAGAGGGTCTCAGGGTAGAGGCAGTTATGGTCTATATAAGGCAAGTCTGTCAAATGCCCAGGGCCATGGGGCTTTAGGGACTGACGAGCTGTGCTGCTGCATGATGGGACATCAAGACAGGGCTGAGGGCCCCCAAGATCCCAGTTCTGCTTGTCGGGCATGAGGTCTTAGACAAGTTATTGTTTAAGCCTCTGTTTGCTCATGTATGAAATAAAGATATTTCTCTTCCACAGATCTTTTGTGAAGATTAAAAATACATCCTCATTAATGTCCTGAGTAGATTTCAACACAGGCCACTCTGGGTGTTATGTAACAACCAGAAAGACTCTTTTCACAGGGAGAACCAAGGGAATTGAGGATTTGTCCTTCCACAACCTCTTACCCAGAGACCTTGGGCACCAGCCTCATTAAGATGTGGGGCCTCAGTATCCTCTCCCTTACACACGGGCTGACTTTACAGCCAGGAAAACCTGCTCAAGGTATACTCCGAGCTCCCACCCCTCCTGGCTTAGACACCGCTTAGCTCTGTTCCGAGAGCCCAACTTCCCCAAACCTTGAGATGCAGCTGCTCAGATGCCACATTGTGCACAAAAAAGGAGAACACCTGGCTCCACACAGGGTCCTTACTGCGGGGACAGGTCTGGGGACAGAGGAGGGAGAGATCATTGTTGATGGGTCTGGTTGGGCAGAGCAGGATACCAGCACCCTCTGCTCTCACTCTGGCCCCCAGGTACCATGGGTAGCCAGCCTTTCTACTCTGTCTGCTCAGGGATCAGATCCACATACACTACAGCTTATGGGAGGCACTAGGGCAGGGCAGCCAGATTCAAAGGCAAGGAGAGCTTTGCCAAGAGGTTTTACAGGGTTCATGATAGCATGAGCACTCACTTGGGAGGGGAGGATTGCTGCTGCTGGACTGGGAAACTTGGGGTGGTGGAAAGGACACAGGCTTAGAGCCATGTCTAAGGTTGAATACTATTTCAGCTGCTTTTCTAGCATGTACCCTTGGGTAAGTCACTGGTCTCTGACTCTCAAATCCTTGAACTATAAAAGTATTTGTGAGGTTACTTTGAAGACTAAATAAAATAAAAAGTGCCTAGAATGTGTCTTGGCACCTACTAGGCATTCAGTGTAAGCGAATTCCCTTGTCTTTTGCTTCTCTCCCTGAGAAGGGTTGGGGGCCCCGTTTCCGTATCCCATGGCTACACCCCAAGCTGTCTTACCTTGCTCGTGTAAGTCTTCTTGCCTACAGATAGCTTGACATAGGAAGAAGGGTCTCTGCTGACCTTATTCTGTGAGGGGACAAATCCACAATGAAGGTGGCATCATTAGTGTCAGCTTAAGGTGCCACAACCTCACCCTACCTCCTAGCCCTCAGGAGCATCAGTGGGACTTATGGCCAGCCAGCTGCTTCCGTCTGAGAGAATGCTACCCTGGTGTTCCCAGGACCCCTGGGCTGCCATCACTGGTATAAGCACCTGGACAGGGGAGGCTCAAGTGAAGACAGGTGGCAGGAGCTGGGCCTGGCTGGGCACAGGCTCTGGTTCCCTGGAGTTATGGAGACACACAGGGTGGACTTAAGTTCCAGCTCCTCCTTTGGGTTTGTGGCCCAGGCTCTTAACCTTTTGGGTCCTATTTATAAAATGGCAATAAAATTGGACTCAGTCATGTTTCATGGGCACAACAAATGTGGGAGGTGAGTTGCCAAACCCAGTGGTTGGCACACAGTAGACTTGATGATGGTAGCTCTTTTCAGCCCCGGGCTGTGTGTGCAGACTGTCACCCGGAAAACATGGGGCTGTGGCTATGCTAGGGGAAAGGAGTTATGGCTTGCTCTCACTCGGTTCCAGCCCATCACACTCTTACCTTGGCAAACCTGGAGAGTTTTTTGGCTCGATATTCGCCATTCAGGTAGTCAAAAGGGTTTCTCTGCAGCAGCAGAAGAAGGGTAGGTGAGCAACATTTGTGAATTTCCATTTCAAGTGAGCATTAGAAAGTAACAGGCACAAGGCAGGGTGTGTGCGACACTCTGACCATGTCACCACTCACCGGCAGGTTGCAGGCGCTATCCAAGAAGACCACGAGGATGGCAGTGGAAGGGCCGGAATGGTCCTACAAGCAGACACAGACCCCCATTAGGTGTCCCAGCACCAGGAGACACAGCCTGGTTTTGGAGAGAAACCTGTTCGTGGCAGAAGGAAGCCAGCCAGCCCCTGCCCTCCAGACTGGCCATAAGATCCCTCAGAACCTAGCTTCTTTTGTTCAGGCTGAGACTCCAACTGCAGCATGACAGATTCAAGTCAGACAGGGTTTGATTTTCCCTATGATCTGGGCTGACAGGCACTAACACACAGTGTTTAAGGATCCCAGCTTCCCTGAAGATGGCTGAGATGCTCAGAGGCCATCTCTTGAGAGAGATCAGGAGTTGCCGTGTGGAGACAGGGCTGAGGGACACATTCTCAAAGGTAGGGCTTGCCCCAAGACTGAGCAAGATCTGGGGGCTCAGCTCCCTCCCTCCCTCTACATGCACAGCCCACACATAACCAGCCCCACTGCAGCTCCCCTTTCTGCTAGGGAGCCCCAACACCCCACACTCACCTCAGTCAGAGCCTCAGGGTCAGCGATCAGTGAAAGCCACTCCAGCCGCAGGTGCAGCCGCCCACTGGTGGTGTCATTCAGGACAAACCACTGTGGGGAGATGAGGAGGGAAAGGAAAGCTCAGGAAAAGGGCCAGTGAGGTACTACTGACCATCTACAGATAGCTCAGTTCTGGGAACTGGTGGGGCCATAATAGAGGCTTCAGGGGAAAGGGGAATTAGCCCAGACAGGGTGGACTGTGGACTTGAGGGACTGGGACCTGTGGTTAGAGGACTGAAGTGCTACACTTTGGGATGGAAAAACCCTCCTACCCAGGCCCAGTCTGCCCTCCCCTGTAGTGTGACTGCCCCCTGCTGGAGATCCTTGTTCTGTGGGCATTTCAGGGAAGCTTCTTCCAACCCAGACCCTGGTTGGGTTGCCTGGACCCATCTGTCTTGCCCAGCTCTTGCCCCTGAAAACTGGCACATGTGGCTCAGCATAGAAGGAGCCCATTTCATAGGACAAGCTGGGCTGAAGCAACCTGCTAGAGCTGTCCACGGGGAGAGGCTGCAAGCACCAACCCTACCTCATCCACCACTCTGTTCGTCATGACATCCCCGAGGCAGATCTGCAGGCTGGAATACATGGGGGGTGGGGGTGGGGGTGGGTCAGCTCAGCTCCGAGGAGGCAAGCCACAGTTGGTATGGCGGCCTTCTCTGGAATCTGTTATCAAGTATCTGAGTGGGACCCTCAAGACAGAGGATCTTATTCATGCCAAGGAACCAGTGGGAGACCACTTTCAGCTCAAGCACAGGAAGGACAGTCTAGCCATCAGGGCTGCCCCCACTGGGCATGCTGCCCCTGGAGGCAGGTGGCTGCCATCTCCAGAGGGGAAGAAGCAGATACTGCTGGACACATCGGCTCTGGATTCTCAGTGATGGTGCTACTGGCATTTGAGCGGAATGATTTTTCATTGTGCAAAATTGCCCATGCATTGCAGGAATTCAGCTTCCCTGCCTGGTGCCCCCTAAACGCCAGTGGCACCACCTCCCGCGGTCATTATAATAACCCCAAATGCCTGTCCATTTCCAAAACTGCCCCCAGTGCCTTCCACATGATGAGTATAGTTGACGTGTGTGAAAGGAGGTAGCACCTGCATTCTCAGCGTGCCTCCCACTATCGACTCAAGCCAGAGGGGAAATTAATTTTATGTAACTGTTAGCAGTGTGTTTGAGCTCAGTTACATAAAATATGAACCACAAGTCACACTTCAAATCTGCAACATTACAAAAGTTAAGATGAGAAAAAAAGTAACGTTGGCTTGTGAGCTGTTTTCTTAGGCTGTCAGACTGTGCCCCTCCCACTTTGTTTTGTTCACTTTCTAAAATTCTATGTTCATGGAAACAAGCCAAACAATACAGGAGTATGAAGATTCATGTAAAATTATATTCCTCTCGCAACCCCAGCTCTCTGAGACGAGCAGTGTGAGCAGCCTGCTGTGTAGCTTCCATGCCTTTCCCTGTGCTCACTTGCACACGTGCGTGCGTGCACACACACACACACACACACACACACACACGCATCCGCCCTGGAAGGATGACTCAGTCTGCACAGGTCACTCCCAACTCCCCGCCCCCCTTCCTAATACACAATGGATATCCTCCAGGTCAATACACATAGATCCTACTCATTGTTTTTAAAAGCTGCAGAACATTCTCTAGTTTGGCAACGGTTGGTTGAAAATTTCTTCATATTTAACCAACGTCCTCTGAGGCTGGACGTTTTTCTCTCCAGCTCTTTTGTTTTGCCACCTCAGATAGTTCTGCAACAGACATTTCATAATACTTTCATGGGATCTGGAAGTGGGCCTGCTGGACCAAGACATGTAAGTCTGCAGTTTTGATAGGCAGCCCCAGCCAGGCCACGTCAGCCCTCACACACTCTGAGTTCCTGTGTTCTGCCCCAGAGTCAGTGGCCAGGGTTCCTTGACATGGAACCTGGCCATTCATGTCAGCTTTGCCCCTGCCCACTGCTCCAAATGGGGACTCTGGGTACATTATCAAGAGTGCAGAAAGCAGGGCCTATGGTATATAAACCTTGGGGTCCTCTCTGTGCCCGCAGGGCCCAGTTCAGGGCTGGATATGCAGGAGACACCTAGAAGGGAGGTTTGGAAGGCCCAGGAATAGAAGGTCCAGCGCCCCCAGGCCCAGCTCAGCCCTCCTCACCTGCCCAGGAAGTCGTCCCTGTCAGTATCCTCGTCATACAGGTCCACCTCCAGGTCTTGCCCAGGGACTTCATACACTAAGAACTGGAAGGAAAGAGGTGACTTGACCTTCAGGCCCCATCAGCTGATGAAGCAGATTCGCACATGACCCAAGGGGAGCCACATTCCAGCTCCACCACTTAGTGTGGAGCCCGGGGCAGGTTCCTGCCCTCCTCAGTGCCTGGAAGACCCTCCTGTATGAAGGGAGTGATGTCCTCCCCTGCAGGCAGGAAGATGAGAGGCAAGATGGGCAAGCCACCCAGGGTGGGTGCTCAGGGGACGGTGGCTGCTGTGTGTGCTTTGTGGGCTTGCAGCTTCCAGAGCACCTAAGCTGTGGGGCCTACCCTCCTCATAGGAGGGGCTGTGGTTGAACTTAAGGAAGAACTTCAGGCTCCTGGTGTCTAGCTCTGGCTGAGAGGATTGGGGCAGAACTGCCTTTAGGTTTTTTTACTTTGACTTGAAAAATTCTAGCAAAGCTGACTCTAGCAGGAAAAAGACATGGGAGCTCATCTGTAAGTTGTCACCTCCGGTGGGGCCACAGCCCACCTCTGGAAACCGGGTGGACTTGGAAAGTGGGAATTACCCAAAACATCCTGCTTGTCCCCAAGGCTCAATCCTGTTGTCCCACAGGTATGTGAGGCCCATGAGGGCAAGGCCCCCCACCCCACGTCTGTACCCAGCATGACCCAGAGGAGCCTGGAGGACATCAAAGTAGCAAACTGTGGCTGAGGAGACCCTCACCTCAAACACCTCGTTCCAGGTGGGGTTCAGGTTCTTGTAGATGGTCTTGCTCCGGAAATGCTGCAGGCCAATGCTCACCTTGGCATAGGGGTCCGACTTGCCTCGGATCCCCAGGAAGTGGTCCATCTGGGCCAGCTTTTCCGCCTCCAGCAAGTGGACTCTGATCACCCCCTGGAAAATGCCCAGCCCTGGGTTCACTGCTGCTTCCTGGGCTGCACCAGCCCTCAAGGCCCGCAATATCAGAGCCAAAGCCCTCAGACATCATCACCCCAGCCCACAGCACTCTCTCCATGTTCTGGATAGGGAGGCAGAAGCCAGAGACAGCAGCCTCCTAGCCAAGGCCACGCAGCCAGTGATGGCAGGGCCCAGGGCTCTGTCTACTGCATCGCAATGCCCGCCCACATTCCTGCCCTTCCCAATTTGCCATGTGAATGGCTTGTTCCACTGCAGCCATTTCTTCCTGTGCCAACAACCATGGCAAACCAAGCCACCTGAGGAGGCTTCCTCCTGTACTCCAGCCCCCTCTCTGTAACCTGCATGGAGACTGACTTCCAGTGTTATTTCTTCCCAGTCTCCAGGTGTATATAGCCCTGTGGACACTGCTTGTTGCTGGCAGTGGGTCCCTGCAAAGGTCCCAGCACTGAGTCTCATCCGACTCCACACACTAGGATATGTCTTAAGGCAGATCAGAGCCAAGGATTGGGAAAAGGTAGCCTTCCTGCCTAGAACTATTTAAAAAACAACAACAGTAAGTAAGGATGTATTTTCCCTTGGACACAGCAATCCCATTTCTAGCCCTAAAGCCATACTGCAAAAATATAAAAAGACATGTCCAAGGCTGCTCATGACAGCATATTTGTTTGAACAAAGACCAGACACAACTCAACTGTCAATTGAGAATTGATGAAATAAGCATAGCACGTCCACACGTGGAGTAATGTACAGCTGTCAGAATGAAGATGGGCCCCATGAACACGGTCATGGAGTGATCCCCGGGACACCTGACTGATACAATAAGGTGGGGAAGCTGTAGTATGCAGCTGTCCACCAAAGAAAGGGGGAATCAGGACGACCAGATGTGCACATACCACCATATGGACGTATCTGCTCATCTTAGAAAACAAATACTGAAAAATACTGGGCAGATAAACCATCACTTACAGGGAGAAGGTGGAGATTAGGTGGAGGGACAAGGGATAGAAGCCGGGCTCCTTAAAATATAATTTGTTCTTTATATTGGACTTTGGAAACATGCACATGTTTTCACATAATTGTAAAGTTAAGCTAAAAATTAAACCCTAAAAATAGGAAATGGAATGAAACAAACCAATGTAAATATTCACAGGCAGCTGCTGTCCCAGCACACAGAGGAACTATTCCCAGGGAGTTTAAATCGCAGCCGCTTGGCAGTACATCTGGAATGTACTGTCAAGAGGTACTAAATTTTTAGTAGTTGTGACATAGGTGATGGTATTGTGTTGCCACTCTGAGACTGCCTAACCCACAGTATGGGATGAAGCCCATGCGCCATTATGGGAAGGCTGACAGCACGGATGTGTCCCTTGCTGACCGACCCTCAACCCCGCATGGATGCCCCATACCTGGTGCTGATGGTGAAATGGGCACTTTCCCCTCTCCTGAGGCCCTGACTCCCAGCCCTGAGGGCTCAGGGCCACAGCTAGAGCACCTTCTATAGGGAGCCACATGGCTGTCCGTCCTAGCTGGGCACAGGATGGAAGGGACAGTGGGGCTAAGCACCCAAGGAAGCCAGATGCCCAGCTCTACTGAACACTCTCCTTCCCAATAGACCCCAAGCTTGGAGTTGGGGAGCCGCAGGTCCCTGAAGGAGGATTGGGAGGCTCCCGGAGTTTCCTGGGGCAGGAGGTGACTGCCCACAGTCCCTAACCAAGGCTGCATAGGGGTATCAGGATCCCAGAAGGAATGCCACCTGGGCTTTGCATGTCCCAAGATGGGTGACTCATTTAGCCTTCCTGAGACTCAGGAAACTGGAGGTGCCACGCCCCCCTCCCCAGGGCAGAAATAAGGATTCCTGTGTGAGAATGCATTCGCCCCCAGCCGTCTGGCCCTAGCACTGGGCCTGTGCTCTAGCTGGCGCAGGTACTCACACAGGGCAGAGGGAAGCGCAAATTGGTCACATCCAAGCCCTTCTTCACGGGCACAGTCACACGGTTGGGCAGCACCAGGTGGGCGGCGATGAGGTCCTCCAGCAGGCTGTCTGACATCTCGCTGGGGACAATGGGCATGACCACATGTGGAGGGGTGGCACTGCCTCCCCCAGGCTGCCTGCCCCTCACCCGTCCCGGGAGCTGGCACAGGAGCCAGAGCTCAGGGCGCCCCTGCCCCGGAGAGTGCAGCCCTGAGCCCAGCCTGCAGGGGGCATGTGGAGTTATGTACTGACAGCTGGGACCACTGCACCCCCAGTCCTGCTTGTTCTGTGAGGCATCACAGTGTGGCAGCTGAGTGACAACCTGAAGCTTGTTAGAATCTCATGAGCTGTGACCTTGGGGTACCTGCTAACCTCTCTGGATCTCAGTTTCCTCATCTCTAAACTGAGGATAATTATACTGGCCTCCCAGTGTTTTTACGAGGATGACTGACATGTGTAAAGTGCTGAGAACAGTGCCCAGTAAATGCTGGGTGAGTGTTCGCCACCTTAGCCCTTCCGTTCCCTGACATCACAGCCAAGTTCTCTTTATCTGCTGGCTGATTCCATCCCCCCCCCCCCCC